TACACCTCTTGGGGTCCACTGCAGAAAAGCCTCTCCAGCAAGAAGCAAACTTACACTTTTAGCAAATCCTTGTCAAATTCTTCTTTGAAACTGTTTTTGTCACTGGCTATTTAAGCAGCAGTAAATTAGAAGTCTGATTTAATTAAGAAAATCACTGTCCTGATCTCTATGAAGTCAGTATTACGAGGCCAGCAATTCCTGGGTAAAGCAGACGTTGCTTGGCAAGAGCTACATAGCCACACCAACCAACCCAAAACACATATAAGCGACTTTCCCAATAGTCTGCAAACTAAACAGTACACTCTTAGCAGCCTCAAAGGGATATCATGATCCTAAATATTTGGAGAAGAAAAGGAAAAAGGAATCAGAAAACAGTAAAATTATATTCAGGAACTAAGTTCAATTTCCTGCCACTTTCCACACAACACACTTGCTTCAATAGGAGGCACGTAGAATCAATTTTGCCCACAGAAACAGGAAGCTGTCTAACAACAGCAAAGAGGCAAATTTAATAGCTAATGTATTTCCACAGAAGTTCTGCTTCAAGCAGTGTTTTTATACTTCACCTTCCCCCATTTTTTTTTAAGGAAGAGGAATATTTAGAAGCAAATTCCTAAATATTTACCTTCCACTCTCAATATTTTCAAGTATCAGCTCTCCTCAAGACATATCAACATTAGATAACTTTCACAAACCCTGCACTTAACGGGAAAACATAGAAGGCAATCGGTTCTCCTTCACAGATGTACCTCTAATGCATCTAGGGATTCCAGACACTGCTTATATTAGCCCTCACCACCATAAAGGCTTTCCCTGAACACACTACACAGTCACTGCAGACTGAGTCAACAACAGACCAGGCGTTGAGCCAGGAGCAAGGGGAATGACAGTTCGAAGTTGGTTAATTATTTACAAAAATAAAATGGAACAAACCCAGCAACAATAAAAGGCAATGAGGCAGGGCAAACTGTTAAAAAAATGAGCATCTGAACACAGAAGGCATTTTTCATAAACTGGAATAGGACGGTACTACATTCTCATTTAGCTATCTCCCAGTGCAAAAAGGTAACTCCAAAGACTGACATAGTTCTGTTAACACAATCCCATAAAATCATATCAAGTTAACAGGCAAAGATACAACAACAGGAGCAGGGATTTTTTCTCCTTTTGCCTGTCAGATTTTGCAGATACCTTGCTGCAGTGAATGCTGTCCTGAATGCAAATTACCTCAGCTCCCCAAGACCCATGCTGCAGTGCCCAAGACTGCCAACATGCAGTGCAATGCCAGCAGCCATGTATTTAGATAAAAGGGAATGGGAAAAGTAGTCCGGAAAGGGTGTAAATTTGCACTTAATTCAACAAAGCTAAGGAACTAGTACAAGATTTGCATTTCATAGGAAATGAATCTAGTCAATATGTAGCAAGGACAGAGGCGAACACGCTGATATCAGAAAAGAAGCTGTTTATTGCTATGAACGCAAGTTACTGTGCCCTCACGTTCTGAACTGCCATCCTTACAAGGCTAAATGAAGTTAACTTCATGGATATACAGCCCTGCAGCACAGTTCAATCCAATGCAGCAACAAAGTGCTGCCAGGTTCTCACTTTGAAGAGCGACTGGCTTGTGAAAAGTGCTGAGCACGCAAGCCTACACCTAACTCTTGGCAGACAGCTGGTTTGGAGTTAAAGTACACACTTGCTTTTGAAGTTTAGATTTGCTCAAGTTAGTATCAAGTCTGAATTCTAACACAGCAGGAAAAAAAATCCCATTAGTTATTCCCATCAAAAATGGATTATTAATCATGCTATTCCACTGAAAGCTCATCTATAAACTCTCTCTAGATATCAGTCTTGACATTTTACAACCATCTCAAAGCATCTCTGAAGATTCAAGCATTTTCTTGTTCAGGCCTTTAAACTAATGTCAATTTCTAAAAGGACACCATTTTCACTTGGTCCTGTGGATAGTGAAACACACCAATCTTTTTCAAGAATCAATTGATATGATTCAATTGCAATTTTGTCTGTGAAAATGAACCTAAATGACTCAGACCCTAGGATGCTGAAGAGGAGAAAGATACGTCCAGTAGGGATTGGACATTTAGATTGCAATACACAACACAAGCCTGATGCCATAATATACAACTTAAATAGGCCACTTCAGTAGTGAAAGTGTTTTCAGACAAGACCAAGAAGAGAAGTACTTCCAGACCTTACCTCCCAGAACAGAAAACCTGTAATATTGCCTTCTTCACCACACCACTGTTAAGGGCTGTTGAGGAAATTCTTGCCCGTAAAGGAGTTGCATTAGGTGTTATTAAGTCTTCTTACTAATTAACATAGAATTTATTATTCTGAGAGAGTTCTAATAAGTCTGCAATATACAAAATCCAGAGTTTTTTCTAATGTATCTATGAGCAGAAGTAACTCAAGTCATACAACTAGTTTCTTCGGTTGCTTATCAGACATGGATTTGAAACAACTGTAGGAGTCCAGCCCTCAGGCATAAAAAAAGTAACACTTGCATTTCACAACACTTGGCAGAGCAAAGGAGATGCATGGGCTATAAGAACTCCTTTTTCCCCCTAGGAAGGATTTCAAGCAGGTCATAGGCACACTCCTGCATCAGAAGGCCCCTCAAAATCCACTTTATGTTTTATAAGCTGGAAAAGAAAATTAAGCATTGGATTTTTATTTTTTTTTTTATTGGAAGAAGCCTATAAGGATCACTGTGTTCAACTCCTGGAGTTGACACAGCATTAACCATCATTCTCTCATCACACTGCAGTTTTCATAGAAGAAAGAACACACTCAGGTTTATGTTGCACCAGGGAATTAAACTTCGTACTTGCAGAATCGAGGCAAGAATCATAAATCACTTCTATCAGCAGCAGAAGCAGGTCAGATCTGAACAACAAAGAGAGAGCAAGGCTATGAAACTGCCCAAGCGTTACAGTGCGCTGGAGCACATGCTGCAGTGGTTACCACTAACAAGAGAAGCAGATAAGGAGCTAAAGACCCACTAAGAGAAAAGAAATTGCTTGTGGACACAAGGTTTCTTCACAGCATTTTTTAGTAGAAGTGGATTATGGATTATGAAATAAAAATGGGAAGATGTATTTATTTTACATGAGAAAAGCTAAAAACCATCAATAAGACTTCCCGTTTATTTCCCGTGTTTTCAGATGTTGTTTCTTCATCTTCATTTTGTCATGTTTTTCACACTACAATCATATTTATCAATCACACACAGTTCAGGAAAGTACTATGATATTTGTCACCAAAATGCAGGGTTACCTGATAAGCAGCATGTTGTTCTTGTCATAACCCTCACAACCTTGCTGCCACCCAAAAGCCACAAGAGCTTTCTATGAACCTGAACAAGCTATGCATGCATTGCGTGTACACTAAGTACATACCAATCATCTGCTAGTTTAGTGTGTGCACAGACAAAAAGAGCAACAACAAAGGATTGTAGATGAGTGTGAAATTGCTATCCAGGACTCTGGGGTAATGATAAACACCTGGGGCTATTCAGCCTGCAGAAGGTTCCAGGAAGACCCTTTCAGTATCTAAAGGTAGGCTATAAGAAAGAAAGGAACAGACTCTTTAGCAGGGTCAGGACAAGGGGAAAGAGGCTCAAACTGAAAAAGGGGAGACTTAGAGTGAATGTAAGGAAAAGGTTTCTTATGGTTAAAGGTGGTGAGACACAGGAACAGGTTGCCCTGAGAGGTGGTGGATGTCCCATCCCTGAAGACATTCAAGGTCAGGCTGGACAGGGCTCTGAGCAACCTGATCTACCTGTGGGTGTCCCTGTTCACTGCATGGGAGATGGTCTAGGGTCCTTCCTGACTAAACCAATTCTATGACAGCGATTCAAAAGCCTGGTGAAATTGAAGTAAGAACTAACAAACACAAAACACAGGGTTCCAGTTCAATTCCATGTTACAGGAGGCTGAAATCCGTTAAGCCTCCACACTCCAAATACAGCTGTTAACACCTATTTCCAGATGGAAACATGCAGCTGTAGCCTTCAAAACAAAATCCCACCACAAACAGGAACTTATGCACATTGCCAACTTCATTACCCATTAATGGTGAAAAGACTCCAGGACAGACTCTTCTTATTTGTGCATATTCATACCAACACAGGGATTCCAGTACTTGAAGGGAGCATATAAACAGGAGAGGTAACTGTTTACATGGGTGGATAGTGATAGGACAAGGGGGAATGGTCTTAAACTGAGACAGGTGAGGTTTAGGTTAGATATTAGGAGGAAGTTTTTTACATAGAGGGTGATGACACACTGGAACAGGTTGCCCAAGGAGGCTGTGGATGCCCCATCCCTGGAGGTGTTCAAGGCCAGGCTGGATGTGGCTCTGGGCAGCCTGGTCTGGTGGCTGGCGACCCTGCACATAGCAGGGGGGTTGAAACAGGATGATCATTGTGGTCCTTTTCAACCCAGGCCATTCTATGATTCATGAAGAGACAGCATCCCTTCTCTCTGTTTTACCTGGTGCATTCACAGTGAGTGTCTGTTGGCCATTTCAGACTCTGGTTTGACCACTTTAGCCCCTTATACCCCTAAAACAGCCCATATCACGCTGGCTGAGCTCCCACAGCTGCCACATCACACAACCACATGGCTCACGCACACGGCTGCGCGCATCAACTCCGTCCTAAGCCAGAACTTTATGAAACTCCCGAAAGCGCGGCTGTGAACGACAGCCTCTTTTGACGTGAAGGCCGAGGGGACGCACAACCCTCCTCAGCCGACCGCCTCACGGTCCGAACGGAGCGCGGGGCACGACACGTCTCGCAGCCGCCGCAGGGCGAAGGTGGCGGCCCCGGGGCGGGGCGGGCACGGTGCTGCGTCTCACGTCTCCAGCAGCTCGAAGGCTGGCAGGACTTAACGAACGCCATTCGTTCATCCCGGGCCGCGATGTTTCCCGCGCCGCCCCCACCCCTCTCCTGCGGAACGACCGAAGCCCGTCGTTACCTGCGGGCGAGCTCCGGGCGGGCTCACCCCGTGGGGCGCCGGCGAGGAGGGTGGGCGCCGCTCTGTAGGGAACGGGGCCGAGACCCGGCGTGGATTTCCTGCGGATGGCCGCCCGCCTGAAGTTGATGCCGTCGGCTCCGCTCATCCTCGGGGCGGGGGAGAAGGCAGAGAGAAAAGGCAGAGTGAGGAGAAGCTCAGCGCCCCTCCCGCCCGGTGCCCGGCGTGACCCGCATCGCGCTGGGGGAGCGTCCCCCGTCCGCACTGCGGCTCCGGCCGCCTCCAGCACCGGCTCTCACCTGCCCGCCGCTCCCCGCCCCTTCCCTTGCCCTGCCCTGCCCTACCCGCGGTACCTGCCAGGCGCCCGCCGCACCCCCGTTGACATGGTGAGCCCGCGGCCGCCGCCCAGCCCGGGCTGTGAGGAAACTTCCCCGGGCCTGCTGCCGCCACACGGTTCTCCCACAAGGAAGTTGGGGCGGCGGGCGCTGCACCTGCGCTGCTTCCTCCCGGCCTTCCCCGGCCCGGCGCCGCTTCCTCAGAGCGGCGGGTTCACAGGAGAGCCGGGTTCCCTCGGACACGGCTGGTGTGGCAGCGCAGCGCTTGCTCAAGCGAGTTGAGGGCTCCCCTCCCCATGTCACCGCTATTTGTTTCTTCTCACCGCGTGCTGCCTTCTGCCGTCCTTCAACTCTGAACTGCTTTGTCTGGAAGGTGGCTTAGGATTGCCCGTAGGACTGAGCAGTGAACGTGGAAGAAATTGGCCAGAACACATTAACCTTCTTCCGACGAGAATGTTCTCAAAGACGTTTATCACTTAAAAGCGAGCTTTGATGCCAGGGACAGATCTGCAATCCTCACATCGATAGTAATTCCAACTAATGGGGCTCATTCACGCCAGAGCTGTTCCCTCCCACTGGAAATATTAATTAATGCTGAAACAAGCACTAGGAATCATAGAATCATTAAGGCTGGAAATGACCACTAAGATAACCTAAGCCATGCTCACTGACCACATCCCTCAGTGCCATATCCATGCAGTTCTGGAACACCTCCAGGGACAGTGACTCCACGACTTCCCTGGGCAGCCTGTGCCACTGCAGCACCACTATTGCTGAGCACAAATGTTTCCTAATCCAACCTGAAAGCAGCTATGCTTTTGTGAGACCCGGGTTTAGGTTCATTTATCTAGCAATGGTGCTGGAAAGCTTCCATTCTTTTGTTTAACTGGGAGATGGTTCTTGGAGAAAGAACATCTGAACTTTTGCCATCTGTGACTGGAGAACTGCAGGCTGCTGCGTGCAGGATGAGGGTCTGTCAGGAGCTTGTTTAGTGTTTTGGTCTCGGTGAAATCATTCTCTTCACAAGTAGGTCAATAGCTGATAGTCCCCTCCTTCATTCCCAGGAGAAATGAAGTAGTCAGATCACCTTCCAGATTTTGTGCTCTTGTAAACATCGGGTTTTCCTTCTGCAAACATATAAAGAAAAGCTATGACTCAGAGGTAAAAGACTGATTTACTTCCTAACTTCGGTTACCTGACATGGGCTGGGCACATGGAGATGAATATACCTATGCTATGAAGAGCATTTCTTCAGGAAGTACACAGACTGACTTACTTGCAGCAGGAGAGCGACGGATTCTTCTAAGCTGTACAGTTACTGAGTATGTGGCATGGATCAATCATTAACTTGTTCAAGAAGGCTGGCGCACACTTAATTCTTCATCAGAACACTGAGCATTGAGTGGTCTTCACAGCTACTCATTAAAGCACGGCAAGGGAAGAGAGGCAGAGAATTTCTCATTAGTATTTCCCAAAGCACTTCACCAAGGAGGCAAGGATCGGCCTTATTTGACAGGGAAGGAAACGAGGTACTAAAAGGAAAAGTTATTTGTTCAAAGTTGTCCAAGATGGCAGTACAGCAACAGAATACAAAACGGTACTCTATGGAAATGAAAGCAAGATTGAAAATGGAAGACCTTTCTCTGTTTCTCCTACTTACAATAACTAAACTGATCTCAACCCAAGTATTGCCAATTGCTCAACAGCCAACCGTTAGCTAGGCATAATTATCTTATTATTATTATCTTATTATCTTAAACACTTATTATTAGATCTTGTACTTGCATCTTTAAATATGGAGTTCTGCTTGTGGAAGGAAAACAGCCAAGGAGGCAAGGACAAACACACCCACTCCAGAAATCCTACCCAAATAGCATAAACTATGTTAATTTTGTTTTCTATGATGTTATCGGGGAGTGGTAACTTATTTCAATGTCACTGGAAAATAAAGGTCACTTCAGAGAATCCCGGTAACTGCGCTGTGGCATCAGGAGATCAGCCACAAGCTCACATTCTCAAGAAAACTGTTCTTTAGCAGGACACTGAGCAGTGAGGTGACAGTCAATGATAGAAGAAAGTCATCTTAACAGTGAATTCATGGTAATTTTAGAGCATTTGTAGTTCAGTGCAGGCTTCTCACAGCAGCTGGTTGTCTCTCTTCCCTTCAGTTAGCTGCAGCACAGACCTGGGCCAGCTGGTTGAAGCTGGCTCTGAGCTGCTGTACACCAGCAGCACGTCCGTTCTGCCTGCTTTCACTTGGCAACAACTGGCCTGCCCTCCTGGCATGCCCTTCCTTCTTCCTTGTACGCTACTCTCAGTTTCATGTGTTCTTCATCTCTGGATGGAGAGATGGAGTGACTGTGTCAGCAACAGGAATAACATCTTTCTAAACAAAAGTTTTTCAAATGCTATCTTGAAAAATTTCACCCTGAAAGATCAAAAATTTAGTGACTATAGGAAACGAGATCTGAGGACAGAAAACATTAGGTTAGCTTAACCACAGAGAGTGCTGCCAATTCTGCTTCAAATATATGACATAACCCAGCTAAATGGTCTGCCTGCGTTGTACCACCCATCCAGGACAACATGTGGGAAGCATCACAGACTTCTTTACTGTACAGTAAAAGAGTTAACCAGTAAGCCACTGCTAAGCCACATTTGAGTGTGGGCTATAGCTAGGCCATCTGGCTCAAAATCTTTCTGTGAGGGTGGTGAGAAATGCAGTGGTGGAAAACAGACTTAATTACTTCTATTTGCATGTAGGAGGTACAATAGGAACCCTGTGGAAGTCCACAGAGGTGCAAAAGGTGGCAAGTTTGAGCCCCCCCCTCCACCCCCCAAAAAAAATAATAATGACAGAGCATTTCTGGCAAATGAAAGGCTTGAAATCGCTTATGCTGCTGGATCACCAAAGCATTCTGGAAAACACACAGTTTTTCCTTAGTTTATTAAATACTTCATTTGTATGCAAGATGTTGCCCCCTCTTTGTGCCAACCTTTACTTCTCCTAATGGAAACAACCTTCAGAATACTGGATTTGGCTGCTTATGTGAGACTGTTTCTTTTGTTGTGTACAGTCAATTTTCCTTATTTTTGCTAGAGTTTACCTTTATTTTCATCTGAATTACAGTAAAAATCTGTTTGTCTAGCTTACCTGTTTATCTCTTCTCTAACTTTAGTTTCTCTTAGTACTTCCTCATGCTTTAACTCTTAGTAAATCTGTGTAGCAGCATTTTTAGAGCATTAATCTATACCCTGAGAAAGAATACATGAACTTGGCACCTCACTGAAATGACAGTATGTTTCAAAGCATTACACATATCTCAGAGTATCTTATTTAAGGCTGATCTGAACAATACCTTCATTGAGGTCTGACAGAAAAAAATGACACTGTCTGTTGGATGTGAACTAAAAATTAATCTGCCCCTCTACTCTGCTCTCATGAGACCCCTCATTGAGTACTGAGTACAGTTCTGGGGCCCCCAGCACAAGAAGGTCATGGAGTTGTTAGAGCAGGTCCAGAGGAGAGCCATTAAGATGGTCAAAGGGCTGGAGCACCTCCCCTATGAGGACAGGCTGAGAGACTTGCAGCTTTTCAGCAAGGAGATGAGAAGGCTCTGTGGACACCTTATAGCAGCCTTCCAGTACCTGAAGGGAACCTACAGGAAAGCTGTGGAGGGACTTTTTATAAGGGCAGGTAGTGACAGAACAAGGGGAAATGGTTTTAAACTGGAAGAGGGTAGATTTAGTCTAGATTTAGAAGAAATTCTTTGTGGTGAGAGTGGTGAGACAGGTTCCTCTGCGATGTTGTGGATGCTCCCTCCCTGGAAGCATTCAAGGCCAGGCTGGATGGGGCTTTGGGCAATCTGGTCTAGAGGGAGGTATCCCTACCTGCAGCACAGGGGTTGGAACTAGACGGTCTTAAAGGTCCCTTCCAACCCAAACCATTAGTGATTCCATGATTAAAATGCAGCTTATTACACAGAAAAGCCATACTTATTATTTCCCTGACTAAGCCAAGGAACATCTCACAGTGTATTTGGATCATCTGTGAACTGAAGATTCAAACCTGTTCTGCCAGCAGTAAAACGAAGACAAGAACTGATATGCCAGAAGATAGAGTAGGATACTAATTAAAGAAGAATCTCATGCATCTCAGGATCTCATGCACATTCCAGATGAAAATTCTTTTCTGATGGTAGCAGCAATAGCATAATGCGCAAAGTAGCTGCCGCCTGTGCAACAGAGATACCCAGATCAAGCAAGTAAGCATAAGGGAGTTACTTAGCCTCAGTTAAATCAGCAGGCAAACACAGAATCCAGCCTTCAAGGACAAAGTGAATTTCAGCCTGAGGCTGTTGACTCTGTCTTAGTCTGGGGAATGGTTTACAAAGATTAGAGGGACTCCAGCCTTGCGTTTGTTCCCTGCGAAGCACCCAGCGTGTGTCAGAACAAGAGGACACTGGATTTACTGCATTACGCTGGCTTATGTCAAAAAATACATCCAGCTGTTTAGTATTTACTCCCCCAGCACAAACTGCAGCACGCACCATCTCTTGGGATTGGTTTTACTTCCATGTGAGAAGCAGCTGCAGAGTCAATAACGTGAATTAAAAGCCACACATGAGAAGTAAGCCATAACAAGAACTCCAGGAAGTTTTAGCCAAATCCTAGGTATTTACTGCTGGAACAGAAAAAAAAAAAAGAAAAAAAAAAGGATGAGTAGGTAGCCATCAGAAGAAAAGCCACAACAATTTATTTTAGCCCCTTCACTAACATTCTTAATATATCTCTCCTGTTTTGTCCTATTTGATTGCGTGAAACAGAACACCGTCCTGTTGTCATCAGGTGCCCTAGCAAAGGGAGGGCCAACAAGCAGCAGGATTTGTCAGCTTCCAGCCACCTTAATTAAGAAACCTACTGAACCCTTGCAGCCAGGGTTTCCTTACCTACCACACAGAAGACACCAGATGAATGCTAACAGGTAGCTCTGCAAGAGCAGCACTGGGACAATTAAAGGAAGAAACATTCCTGCTCTATACAGCCTCCTTGCTAATTGCATCTTATCCTCTTCTTTTGCTGTGCAGAAATAGATCTTCTATTATAAACAAATTCTTGGAGTTTACAGAAATGGTGCTGAGGTAAGGGTATCCCATATATCCCTTAATTCTAAGGAAGGACTGCTGCTTAGAGTGGTAATTACAATTTAATTAGTTTTGTTAGATAAATCTTCCAGACTGGCATGCCCTTAACAAGACTAATTGCTTTTAGAGGTCTCAGAATATTCTTCATTATCACCACCATGGGTTAATTAAATGTATTTCCCACTATCCAATTAGTATCAGATATTCAGATACCATTAGCAACAGTACTTTAGCTTTGATTTAGATTAACTACAGGTGAAAACAATCTTCTGGAAGGTTATTTTAGTAAAAGGGAGAGAGAAGGCAAGTTATGGTTGAGAAAATATCATGCTTTCTGTTTCTTCTTTCCTTCTGCAGCGAGACTTGACCGCTGCTATGAAGAGTGTTTAAAAAACCCACCATGGTGTAAGTTCTTCACTTGAGATACTGGAATGGTGTCTAATTCCCAGGACAAGAATGACAGCTCTTTAAGTTGTACCACATATCCTAAATCTCTTGCCATATGCTGTTAAAAGTTTTCTATACATTAAATATGTCCTTGCCTCTATGAATGCTTTAGCAGTAAAGCAAAATGATTCAGTTCTCTCCTTAGCAAGTCAACACCTAAAGGGCAACAGGCAGATCAAACATAAAAAGAAAGGCAGAACTATTAGTTCCAGATCTGGAAGAAAATATATTGGTCTCAGTGTTACAATGCTCCCTGAGCTTTGTTTTTTCCCCTAATTCTAAAAAACAAGCTGCCAAGCACTTAAGATTTCAGCTAATCAGGCATATATACACTTCTTAGTAATTAATAATAACTTTAAACAGAAAGACTTCAAAACTATTGCTGCATTTGAAGACTCCTCTGTTAGCTTCACCAACTTTTGTGTGCATTCATTGTATTCCACACTCCATAGACTCCTTAGATCTTCATGGCTTGAGATGAGATTATTTGGAGCAAAGGCTCTGAAAAAGATTTGACCATTTGTTGGTCCTCTTCCACTTTTAAATTCTCTTTTACACACCACATGTCAAAAATAGCACTTCATTCATACTTTGACTTTTCAATACATTATTGGGAAACTACATGTCACAAACAGACCTTTTCTCCAGAGATCTAACAATGCCTAATTTTGGAACTCATTACTTCAGATTCTGCAGTATACTTCCAAGGCTATATTGACTGCAGATGGGCATATCTTTACAATACTGAAATGTGCCACATTTTTATATTCAAGCATAAACACAACTAAGCATAACTGCATGGGTGAGAGGTGCTTTGAGCATGGACTGAAACTTCAGATACTAGATTGGATGGGGGCCTGGGCAGGCTGGTCTAGTACCAGATCTGGAGACTGGTGGCCCTGCCTGTAGCAGGGGGATTGGAACTGGATGATCCTTGGGATCCCTTCCAACCCAAGCCATTCTATGATTCTATGATTCAAAAACTCCAGAATCTTAATTTGGGTTCAGTCACAGATATGTGCTCATGACTTTGAGCACAGTCTTCAAGAGAATGCTGTCAACTTGCAGGAAGTCCACATTCTCTACCAGAAATCTATATTCTACTGCACTAACATTGTTAGTGGAAGAAATGTTTTCCCATGTTTAGGCAGCGTTATCATCTTGGATTTAGTGAGTCAGATTGCCTTTTTAGTTTATAGGCCTGACACAGTCAGAAGGAAGGCATAGGTCTAAGGATATTAAAACAAGACTGTTGATGTTAAACTTTGGTTATTTATAGTAAGGATCTATTAATACCAAGCACTACAGAGACAGGGAACCAGCCCTGAGCAAACCCAGAAGCTAGAGCAACAGAGCTTCTGTAGCATGGGCCTAAAACTGGCTGATGATACTAGTAACCACATCTAAAAATCACTAGCTCTTCATATGTATGTAATGTGGATATATACAGATAGGTGGAGAGTAAAATGTAAAGAGACTTGGCTCATCTTAAACATTGATGACATTTTTTATCCTCTCAGTCTCAATTTCTCTACCTGTGAGAGATAACAGTACTCATTTTGCAAAGACGTTTCAAGAGTTAATTAACACGCACAGAATACTCTGAAGATAAAAAGAGCCAGTTTGCATTTGGCTTAGATAACAAGAGCCTTTGAAAGCAGTTGTGCCTCCACAGAGGCATTTCCTTTTTCAGTAATGCAGGACATTGAGATTGCTGGTATTTGTACACAGTACATTCTTTTGTTTGAATTTTACACTAGGCCTGACTGAATTTGAGTCACAAACCAGCTGGAAAAAATTTTTTCAGTCACATCTTCAAACTGCACGAGGTACTTACCTGTTGTGCCCATCATCGTCTGATCTCTTTTACATAGCTGAGTACTCAAAAAACCAGATGGAGCCATCTCAAGTCCAGGCAAGCTCTGCTCCAGCCTGAGGATCTCTTTAGGTCAAATTTCAATGCAGTGAGCTGGAAGCAATGTCCATTCGCTTGGGGCAATCAAGTTTCCCAGCCAGCCTGGAATAACACAGCTCAAAATCCACCTGATTTCTTAAGTAACTTTCCTGTATTCTAATGCCTGATGGTAGCAGCCATTGAGCCACGAAGGATAGCTGTCACTTCACCTTAGAATACTAATAAGCTGTTAGTAAGAAAAGCTCCCTTGAAGGATCAGTTCATATCATCTGAGCTTACGGAAGCTGTATGTCCCTGAAACAGCTT